CAGGAAGGGATCCCAGGGGTAACAGGGCGGGCCAATCATTAATTAGTCCTCCTCTGGATGCTTGAGTTGAGTCCCAAATCCCCGCCCTCCAGAGGCTGAGACAGCCCAGCTGGCCGCTTCCCGGGCTGTGGAAGGTCATGGAAACCCTCTCTCCCCATTGCTAAGTCAGCAGATGTGGTTCTGGTGTCCTACAGAGAGCAGCGACCCCACCCCAGCCCACCCCACAGAAGGAATTTTAGAGTGTTTGGAGAGTAACGGAGCTGGGCGGGTCTCTCTCCCCCACACCCTCAGAAGCTCCCAGTGCCCTCTGGCTTCCCCATCCAGCAATCTGAGAAGGCCACGCTGTCTGGTGCCTTGGTTTCCTCCTTTTAACAACACGGCCGCGACAGTATCAAGCAATGTCTTGTTCAGGACGCCACACAGGCTTCCCAGGAGACCCGACAGAGGAAGAGGCGACGGTGCCCTGGAGGGGCACAGAACGAAGAGGAAAATAAGATTCGACTCTCATGGGCTCCAGCCCTTCCACAGAGGGGAGAGCCATGAGGAAGGGCCACTTCAGAGTCAGAGAGTTGAGGCCGTGGCCCCACCATGGTGACAGGAGTGAGCTCCTCTCCTGCTGCTCACCGGTGAGTGCGTGTCTCTGGGGAAGAGGGAGCACACCATGCCCTCACCGGTAACACCTGTGGGCTGCAGGTCTGAGAATCGAGTGCCACGTGGAGTGGGGTTCCCCCCACAGCAGTGTGACAACAACTGCCTGGGTGTGGGGGTGTGGAAAGGAACCACGTACAAACTGCCCACAGCCTGGGCCTCCTCCACCCTCGCGCTCTGGCCCATCTCACCCGCGGCGGAACTGGATGGCCAGTGACCCAGTGGTCCAGACGCAGACCAGCGGGCTGCAGGGGAGGAGTCTGCTGGAGGAGGGGCTCCTGCTGTCCGGGTGGGATGCTGAATAGCGACCCAAGGCAGCAGGAGGGCTCGGCCTCAATCCCTCTCACCAGGGATCAATGGGCAGGTCCCATCTGCTTGGAGGCCCCTCCGGCCCCTCCCCTCCTTGGCCAGCGGAGGCTGATAAGCGTCTGTACCGCAGAGGCTTTGTCTAGGGAAGGGGCAAGCAGTGAATCAGCTGGTGCAGGGAGCAGGAGCCTGGACAGCCGCTCCTGGGGAGGGACCTCCCACTTCAGGAGATGGGGTGTTTCATGGGGAAGGGGGAGCAAAGGCAGGTGGAATGGCAGCAAAGCTCCTCACCTGCTCAGGGAGACTCACTCTGCTCCCTGGTCCCCAGGAGGGCTCAGTGGGTCGTCTGTCTGAGACTGGGAGTCATGGGGCACGTGGGACACAGGAGGATTGTGGGAAAATCCAAACACCTCCTTTTGCCAAGAGTGAGGATTCTGGAACTTCCCATGTAGTTGGGAGCTTGCCAAGGGCTCCGAGGGTGGAGGAATCTCCCTGGATTGTTATCTGCTGCAGCGGAGGATCCAAAGGAGCCTGGAGACAAGGACCACCCATGGCACCAGCCAGAAAGGGGTGTACTTAGGAATCATGGCTATCTCCTCCCTGTGGATAGAGACGATCTTGGTGGGCTCCTCTGACACCCCAGAAAGGAAAAGTGAGACCCAGAAAAGGACTTGGAGAACTTATGAAGAAAACTGCTATACGGTGGCCAAGAATGGACAGCCTGTGGGTTATCCCCATGGAGAAGCACGAGCACCGTGGTCTCAGGAGTCTCCATGCCGACAGGACTGAGGCACACTGTACCTTGCCAGGTCTGTGTCCCCAACTGCACGAGCTGCAATCCCGGAGTTGTAGGGAGAATTAAAAGCCTCACTGCCCCCTCTGTGTTGGCCTCAAATGCCTAGTTAAATCACTAGGAAAATTTGGGGTACATAGCTGCTCAGTAAGTGGCTGATATTATCATCGTTATTAACATAAGGCAGTAAAATGAAAAGCACCATCTCAAACCCCCCCCACCCAGCCCACCAGCCACTAGGCATATGAGACTATTCGAATATTCAAGAAATAAAATGAAGATTTCATCTCCTCAGTCACTTCTCTGTGCCTCAGTAGACACAATAGCTAGCAGCTACCATCCTGGACAGAACAGCGTAGAAGGTTCCACCACTGTGAACATTCTATTGGACAGCAGCAGGCTAGACAGTCTCTAAGCCATCTTTAATTTCTAATACTTTTAGATTCGACAAAACAATTCCAAACCAACTTATCCTTTCACCAGCTGACATGTGTGCGAAATACTTGTTTAAGTTCCCTCTCACCCCTAAGGGATACCAAAAATAAAGGAAAATTTGCTGCCAATAACCACCACCAACAAGTTAAAAAAGAAAATGATACATTCTAGAGCCAATTCAAAAGTAATTTGGGGGCTGGCTGCGTGACGCGGTAGTGCCATGCTGCTCAAGAGAAGCTAGGCCTTGCCTGGTCACCCCAGCTGGGGCCCCCGGCCCAGTCAGCCTGAGGTGTGCAGGGCAGTCTTGTGGGTGGAATCTCCATGGACCTGGGAAGCTTGGGCTGAAGGACTGGAGGAAGGAGACTGACTACGGGGCCAGGCCCTGCGGAAGGTGCTCATCTCTCCATGTGCACACAGATGCTCTAAAATTAAAAAAAAAAAAAATTTTGGATGATCCATTGTTTTTTTTTAGAATTATTTATTTTTAATTTTATTTATTCATTTATTTATTTTAATTTGACAAGAGAGAGACACACAGGGAGAGAAGGAAAGTGAGAAAGCAAGCCACTGGGTCCAGGACTCGAACCATGGTTGGCCATAAGGGAGCGTCCAGAACTTTATCAACCATACCACCTGGTGGTCCCCAGATGATCCATTGTTTTTAAATAATGTGCATTAAGACTCCTTGCCAGGGCTGGAAAATATTGTTCCCCCAAGCCCCACAGAGCTGAGGCCTGGGGCAAGACATTTAGAGAAGATCAAGCCCTGCTCAAGAAGGTTGGAAGAATGGGACCTGATCCTCCTTCCTACCTTCCTGTTCCCTGTTGGACAGGCCAACCTCTGGGCAATGCTGGAAATAGGGTGGGGGTCTCCTCAGGGCCTTGCATCCAGAGCTGGCATAGAGGAGCTGCTGCCGGCTCTGGAGAGCGGGACCTGCAGCCCGTGGCATGCACAGGGAAGCAGCCTGTTCCTAAATGACAGCACAGGAAGCACGTGCGATGGAGGGGAGGGACAATCTCGTAGGAGTAAAAGAGATGCTCGGCTGAGGCCGGAACCTCAGCCTAGAGCACCTGCTGGCTACAGGCCAAATAAGGAAAGAGAGGGATGGGAGGCAGGCAACCAGACAAAGGACACTGCTGACCCCTCCCCCTGTCCCCTGCCAAGCAGCAGCCTTGAAGAAGGAGTAGACAGGGAAGCTGGGGCAAGGGGGAACAGGAAGCCTTGGGAGGGGAAGAGAGAGGAGGGAAGGGAAAGGGATGCTGTGTGGGTCCCCGCCAGGACAGAAGCAGTGTGGTAAGAGATACCTGAGTAACAGGTGAGCTTGCCTACACCTGCTGGAGTATATGAGCAACTGCTCCGTGCTGCAGCTCCGGCCTAGGCCTGGGAGTCAGCCTGGCTACATACTTTGCAGGGCCCAGTGCGAAATTAAGACTCAAGTTCTTTGTTCAAAACTTAGGAATTTCAAGACGGCAACAGCAGAGCCTTAAAACAAACTCTGGCCCTTCTGGGCACTTGGGCAACTGCACAGGTTGTGCCCAGAAGGCTCGCCTGGCCTGGGCATAACAGCCCTGTCTACTCCCGGGAGAGTGAGGATGAAGGCTGCCTCGTCACATTTGTAGCTGGCTCTTGATACAAGCAGAACACGACAGGAACCCCCACTCCTCTCCTGAGCCTCACTGCCCCCTCTGTGTTGGCCTCAAATGCCCAGAAACTTGGCGGCTCTGCTCCTGCCCGCTGGGGCTAGGGCTGGCGCCTCCTCCTCATTGTGCTTGGTTTCGGTTTGCCCATGGGTAGCCTGGCCAGAGGAAGCTCCACAGCTGAAAGCCACGGCAGTTGCATCTGCCTTGTTCTCAGATCTGCTTCAAGTCTGGCACAGGGAGCCCTGTGTCAACCCCACGGGCTGCCCCCCGGGGCCCAGAGTCCCTGCCCAGGTCCGGCCTAACATCCCCATTACGTCATCCAATCTTTTTCCTCCTAAGAAATAAGCAGGGGAACAAAAGGCTTCTCGCTAAGAGGGGGGTAAAGTCAATACTTCCCCTTTGGTGACAAACAGGCGCTCTTTCTCATCACGTGTGCATGTGTGAATGCACACACACACATGCACGAGCACGCGTACGCACACTCACACACACACACACACACACACACACAAGCCTCTGAGAAAAGTCTGCCTGTCCACCACCTCCAACAATGCCCAGGAACTCGTGTGACACTCCTGGCACAGCCTGCCATGTCATGACAAGGTGCCTGGGGCAAAGAGGTGAGGGGACAAGGGGCCCAGAGGGGAAGTTGAGGGCATAAACAGAGAAGGCTGGGTCTCCGTCTTCCTGGATTTCAGTTTTGCTCCCCAGTGACAACTTTGTCTTCCTCGTGAGTGCAGTTCGTCCCCTCCACTCCGCACCTGACCGTAAGTACAGGGAGGGGAAGCAAGGGTCCCAGCCTCCTGTCCCGGTCCCCTCCACCTCGTTCTGTGGCCTAGTCTCAGGAAACCGGCCCACAAGACATGCTGATGATGGTGCCTCTGCCCGGAGCTACCGAGTCCCTCCCGGGAGACAATGGCTGAGAGACAGGGAGGCAGAGCCGTGGCTCCGGCTTTGCGCCCAGGGTGGCCCCGCAAAACCATTGTCTCCACACCAGGATAGACAATGGCCTCTACCTCAGCTTCTGGGCTAAGAAGTTCACACCCTGGACGAAAGCAGTTCTGAAGATTTCCTTCCAATACATCGGACTGATACTGACACCTGGGCCCCATCTGGGATCCTGTCTCTGGCGGTAATAAAAGCCCATTCTAGCTGATGGAGGGGACATAGCTCATGCTTCCCTACCTGTGTCTGAGCCTCCCGGACAGACGCGTCGGACAGACAACCACTGACTCACCGGCTGTTCTTGGCGGTCCCCTCTGCTGCTGCCTCTAGCCCTGACTCCTTTCACACTCAGGAACAGGGAAAAGGTTTTCCTTTAACACTCACCAGGTCCCTGGTGGGTAGCAATCATTAACAGCCACACATGCTGACCGGCCTTAACCCCTTCAGTGCTGTGATGCCATAAGCTGGCTGATGGACAGCCCTGTCCCCTTCACTCAGCCCTGAGAAAGTGGCAGCTCCCACCCCAATCATCCACCCAGTAATGCTGCCGCTCTCCCATGTGGAGAGGGAGAGCCCTCTAGTCCCACCCAGGCTGCCCTGCCTGATTGGAGAACACTTGCAACCTGAGGCGCTTGGCTCTGGCACCATGCCCAATTGGATGAGCCCACATTATGAAATATTTGCCTGGCGGGCCAATAGAGGAGCCAGGATCTGGGGGAGGGGTGATATTTGTATTTATTCCTGGAGGAGAGAGTACAGACAAAGGTAGTCATAGCATCCCTAGCCCTGGGACAAGAAGCAATGCACAGATCCGATCTCCGTAACAGTTTCTAACATCTGCGTCCAGGTACAGGCTCTAATCCTCGAAGGCTCCCAAGCACTGTGAGCTCTTAAAAAAGAATTTCTCTGCTGTACTATCTCCCTGCCGCACGGGGCAGTTTGGGGAGTGGATTGGGGAGTGGATCTAGGAACGGTAACAGAAACGAAGGCAGGAAACACATCAACAGGCAAAAGACTGCTTGTCTCTGCATAAACTAAGCCACCACAGGTATTCTTTCCATTTCCAAAGTTATAAACATCATTTTTGCAACTTCGGAGGATGGAAATGAAAGGTAGGCAGGAATGAGTGGAGACAGTTCCCCTCTTTATCCCTTTAAAAGTTGGCAGCCGATTTAGGGAAATCTAAATCCAGCATAAAAGTAGCTACATGTAGGACACATGCAAATCTATGCAGATATGTGCAAATGAGCAGCCCCGGGTTTGTCACGAAGTCCTTGCCAGGATTTTCCTAGACTGAGGAAGCCATCAGGTAGTCATCAAACCCCTATCAGAGCGTGAAGATGTCAGTGGAGGATAAAGAGCTCTAAGCATTTATTGGACATTTACTGCTCATAAAACTGTGTGCCTGTGCGTACAGCCTAGTGGGATTTTGTTGGTTTTGGATTTTTACCGCCATCACAACTGTGGTAGGATGCACAGAACACAAGTGCCCTCTGTACACACCCACCACACTCCCATCTCCTCCCAGATCCCAAATAAGCCATCTGGCTGCTCCCCTCCAGCCTGCCTGGATGGAGTAGCTGGCACCTCCCCTTATCGCCCTGGTTCCTGTTTGCCTATCAGTAATCCCGCCACTGGGGCTCAGGACCCTGGTTTAAACCAGCCAGGGGGCCTTATCTTATCTCCTGGGCTGCCTTCCCAGTGGCCTGGCGGCTGGCTTCCTCCCTTCTTAAAGGGGCTGCACTTCATTCCCACCTGCATCATTCCCCCGACAAGAACACCCCGGAGATCTGGGAGCGCTCTACCCCTCTGTCCCACCCTGCACAGCAGCCCTGGTTGCTGCTGACATGACCTACTGATTTAAACCAGGGAAGGATGCTGATGTTTGCACGTGCCATCTTAAATGCTCTCGTGTCACTCAGCGCCTTTCACCTCGGTATTTCCAGGTTCCTGCTTAGCGAAACTGACTTTAATGCGGGGTGGGAGGGGGAGGAGATTTGGATACCAAGTCAACACAGAAAACCCAGTTGTATTTCTACATACTAGCAACTGATGATGAAAAATTGAAAAATTGAAAACATCACTTATAACAGTAACAAATGAAATAAATACTTAGGGATAAATTTGACAAAAGATGTGTAAGACTTACATGCTGAAAACAAAAACTACAAAATGTTATGAGGCAAGT